GTATATTATTATTATTATGTATATAAAAGCTAATAAAAACAAATACAGTTCTTATGCTGTTCACGTCGTAAAAAACTCAGTCCTAAATATTAACCACAGCTCAAAATATGATACACACCAACATTATTTGATAATAATAATCATAGTAAACACATTAAAATATAAAAACTTCTTATTAGTAATAAATATTAGTATAATATACTTAGTAAAATATAGAGTGATCGTTCAGTCTGTTTTTTTATTTTTTTTTATTTTTTTTTTGCTTTTAATTCTCCGTTGCCTCCAAAAGCTTAGCATTGTCGAGTAATTGTGCATTATCGTTAATGGGAGATAAGTCTTTAATCAATTGCGGTTCACTGCTATTAGACGAAACGTTGATGGTTGTTATCTCTTGAACTTCGCTTACTATACCATTCTGTTCGATTTTTGGAGATTTCGCGGCTGTTGTGGTCATTTTTAATTTATTACTTACGTTATGAATTACTTCGGTGGGTTTCTTTCCCACTGTCGATTTCATGGTCGTGGTTTTCGTTACGTGAGGTTTGGTGACAGGGCCCTACCCAAATATTCATAAAAAATTAGTTTTAATCTATTTCAATAAGGATGACTATTTGTTTTGATTACTTTAGATCAATAAAAAATGTGGTAGCACTTTTCTTTTTTGTCTTTAAATCAACGAGTACTATTTAACAAAATTTTGTATAAATATATAAAAATGTTAAGCGAGATAAAAATCTGGCCTGTGGCATTTGCTTTTTATTTAATAATCGACTTTTTTTAAATAACATAAAACTAGATAAATGTGTTCAAAAATTTAATTCATTCATACCTTTGTGTCCGTTTTTTGTATGGTATGTGCTGTGGTCTTCTTTATGGTAGTGACACGAGCTGCTGCTGCAGTAATTTTCTTGTTTGCAGTTTCTTTAAGTTGTTTCTCAGTATCTGGACTGCTTTTTGTTACTGTTTTAGTAATTGGAGGTTTGGCGCGACTAGGAACTGTGGTTGTAGGTTTAGGCTTTGTAGCTGCTAACGTTGACGATGTTTTTGAAGACACAGTGCTCTGAAAAAGGACAAAATAATATAGCTCAATTTGATAGGCAATAAATAATAACAGTAACGCGTGTGGTCAAAATTCGTTCAATTTGCTTTCAATTAATTGGTTTTAAAGAGTTTTTACAAATTAATCTAAATTTTTGACACTTTTTTGAAACAAATACAAACATGAAACTATTACAATCGAAAGACTTGAGACGTTGGACTCAACTCCAGTGCTCAGACTTCTACACAGCAGTTAACTTCGCAACCGTTAGTCGTGTCATATACGTGAGCGTATCACATACATCGTCAAACATGTGCGACTAACTGCGCGCAAAGAAATTATTTTAAGACTAAGCAGAAGTTTGAAAATGGTTCCGCTTTTCGGCTTATTCTTTCCACTCGAATTGAATTTCCTGTCTCTAGACTTCTTGAATAGTAACAATTAGTACACATTATTAGGATGTCTTCAGATTTACCCAAAGCAACTTTAGATATAAACAAAAAACTCTTTTACTTTTCACATTATTGTGCCTATTTTAACACATGATTTGTTTTTGTGCATGTCTACGACACAGTACCTTCCCATTAATATAAGTTTCATTCCTTTTAAAATTATCAAAAAAAAAACAATAAGATAATGACAAAAATGAAATATTTGCAGTATTACCTTAGCAGTTGTTGCACTTGTTTTTGACACCGAAGTGGCTGTAGTTGATGTGGTAGTTCTGGTAGAGCTCAAAGTCTTTGTAGTGGTTTTCGCTGCCATATTTGCTGCGGTAGTTTTAGGAACTGCCGACTTAGGAGCTCCAGCAACAGATTTTGTAGCACTCGCAGTTGTTGTCTTAGAAATACCAGTAGCTTTTGTAGAAGCGACGGCGTTTTTAAGAGTTACTTTAGGTGCCGACCTTGTGGATGCAGTTATTGTAGACTTCTTTTCTGGAGAAGTAGCGCTTAGAGGTTTTTTACATTCGCCATTTGTAACAGGTTTCTTATCAGCTAAAGATTTCAAAGTTGGGGTGGTAGTGGCAGATTTAGGTCTACTAGTTGCAGCTGGCGATTTTGTCCCAGGAATACTTTTTGCAGCTGAAACAGATGTAGGCGTTTTGGGAGTTACAGAATGCAGTTTAGAAGGCGTTTGTCTAGTTGTTGGTGAAGATTTTGATGGTGGTGTTGCCAATGGTTTTGTTGGTTTACTAGCACTTGTGCTTTTTAAGGGTGCTTTTGCTGGGGTAGTTTTGGTAGTAGTCTTAGCTGAAGCTTTCTTTGCTACAGGACTATCCTTCTTAGTTGCCAATGCGACCGCAGCTGCAGCAACGCCGATACCAACAACACTTACAATTCCTGCATCACCAGTAGTCTTTTCTTCTTTCTCCTGTTTATCTTCTTTTTCTGTAATTTCTTCCTTTACTTCTTCGCCTTTTGGAGCTTCTTTTGGCACTTCTTCAATAATTGGCTCTGTTTTAGTTTCCTCAGATGAAGGCATGATTGCTTTTTCTGCAAACTCAGGTTGAATATAGTGAGATGTGATGATTTCAGATTCAGGACTTAGAGGAGATGCTACTTCAGAAAGACCACTTCTATTAAGGAAAGAATTTATATCATTAGTAGCCACTGATTCGGTATCAAGCTGTTTGGACAATTTCGTTTCTTCAGCCTCTAGTGGTGAGGTGGTCAAAACCGGTGATAAGGCTTCATCTTTTACAGAGGACGTGATGTCTTCTGTAGAAGACTCTTTTACGGGAATGATTGATAAATTACCGTTTGATGGTATTTCACACTCAAGTGATTCCGTTAATTTTGACAATTGATCTAATTCTGGTTCAGGCGTTTTTGCTAAGTTTGGTACAGGAGATTTTGCAACCTGGCAAATTTCCGGTTCGGGAGATTTTGGCAATTCACAAGGTTCTGTCAACTTTGTTTCCAATTCTGATGTTGGCGATTTAGCATCAGACAGCTTATCTAAATCCGACATTTCGGATGCTAAATCGTGCGATTGTGGAGATTCCACTTTTAAATCAGGTGATATAACTTCCAATTCTGAAGACAAGGCTTCCTCTTTCAACGATTCTATCTCAAGTTCAGATTTTATTTCTGACTCAATTCTTTCATTTTCCGGCTCTGGTGACATCACAGACTCCAAATGTTCCTGAACTAACGACTCGGATTCAGGCAAAATTGATTTCGCCAACAAGTCAGGTGATGGGGAACTTGGCAAAGGAGATGACGCCTTGATATCATCTTGTAATGAAATGGACTCATGGCCTACAAGAGGCAAATTACATACTTCTGGTTCTTGAATTACTGCTAATTGATCCTGTTGAGTTAATGATGCATTTGGAATTTCAGATTCTTGAAGTTCTGGTGATGAAAGTGCTTCAAAAGCAGGGGACTGTGCTGATGAAATAGTACAAACTAGATTCGAATTAAGTAAACTTCCTGTTTGACTCTCATGTTCTAACTGAACAGTAGTTTCATTAGTCTCATTTAATTGATATTCCTCTTTTATTGAAGACTGTAAAATAGCATCATCTTCATATTTAAATGGGTCTGAATCAGGTACATTCTGTTCAAGTTCCTTGGAAATACTTGCCCACACTTGTTCTTGAATGTTTGGTTTTGAATCAGACTCTTCAGAATAATTGGGAAGTTGAGATTCTAATGTCTTTTCTTTATTTTCCTGAGTTTCCTCTACGGCAACATTATCCAAACAAGTGTCTAAATCAGTGGTGATAGGAGTATTTGATTTTTCTCCGGCCAAAGGATCATGATCTGGGAGGTCAGAAATTGTATCATTGAATGTGGTATTAGTGCCGTTGACCTCTACCAAATAATCGTCAATGTTTTCTGGCAACACATGAACTTTATTTAATTCATCAACATCGAAATCCTCTCCTATTTTACGAGATACATTACTGACTTTTTCAACAATTGGTGTGCATTCAAGATCCTTGTCGTCCATATAACTAGCTGATGTTTCGTCGCCAAAATTTGCTTTTGTAGATAATGCTTCAGATTGATCAAGTAATCGACTAGGTGTAAAAGGTGTTGTGTTGGTCCCAAAATGAAATTCATCAGGACTAAATGTTTTCTTTGGAGTGCTAGGCTGAAATTCTATTTCATCAATACTCTTCCCATTTAAGAAGTTTTCCATTATCTGTTGCGATGTTAGCTTGTTGCTCTGGAGAAAGACAAAGAATAATTGAAAACAATGAAAATGTTATTTTCCATATTACTTACGTCATCATCTTCATGACCATTTGTAGCTAGATCACTTGGTCTCGATTTAATTTCCTTTTCAAAATCTTGAATATTGGGTACCTTAATGTCAGCTTCAGGTTGGGCAGTTTTCTTTGGGGATTGCGCAATGATCGGGTCATTAATAAGATTTTGGAACTGAGGTGAGGCAATATTTCTCTTTGGCGAAACCGGAACGAATTCAGCGGCATTGGGATTTAATTGAGACATTGTGTCGCTATCAATGTTGGAGTCAGCAATCTAAAAATTCAACATTACTTTCATTCAAGGATAGTTACCCAAATGTTAAGTACCAATTCTTCGTCTGCTTGAGATGATTTTATATCCTTCTTCTCAGCTACGTCGCCCTTAAAATAATTCCATTCGTCTTCTGACTCTTCTCCACTATCAGCTACATTATCAACTAGGGCGCTAGTTTCTTGAACTGTAATAAAAACAGTTCATTTAAAAAATATGAATATTTAATAAGATGTAGGTACGGTTTATATAGCAAGAAACAAGATTGGATCCAAAAGTCTGAAGTGAATATTCATTGTTAAAATACTATAAAAAGGGAAACTATTACCAACAAAAACAGCTGATCATTTTAACATTAATAAAAAATAGTCAGAAAAAACGCTGTTCAATAAAAACAAAAAGTGCCACGCCCGAAATATCGCAAGTATTGATGGAAATACCGATGATTTGGGTGCAGTAGCCACTGAATGGCATATGAGCAACAAGTTTTTGTAAAATAAATATTTTAAAATTATCAAAAAAAACTAATAAAAAAAGTCGAACTGCCTTCACTGTTAACATCAACATAAAAATTTTTTTCTTACATATGATTTTAGAAGGGGCTTATTTTCTTAATGAGGTATTTGTATCAAAACGTAACAAATACTGAAATAGGTACTTATTTTTCCTAAATTTCTTTTACAAATTTCGAAGTCATTGGTGGTACAACATTAAGATTCAAAAAGATTATCTATAAGTGGTTATAAAAACAATTCTATTTTGTCAAATCAAAATTTTGAAAATTTTAGTACAGTAAAAAACATGTCATTCGTAAAACATATGTAGTATTAAGTAATTAAATTATTATAAATAGATATTCCACATTCTACACTGATTTGCAAATATACGTTAAGTTCAATGCCTTGACACCTTGACAGCATTGGTTAGCAGTATTTCCCAGCCTTACCTACGTACGTATATGTATCCAGGTATACAATACACAAGTGCAAAAAAATAAATTGACAATAAAAATTTCAAATATTAACTAATTACCATGAGTATTACTATAGGCAATATCTATTATAAATATGCCTCAGAAAAGAACAAAAAGGTGTATATAAATGACAGACCTATTCTAGTTGCGTTCAGGAAACTGAATCATGTGGGTTACTTGCAATTTAATATTATACCTACCGAAAGTCATAATTNTCCAGGTATACAATACACAAGTGCAAAAAAATAAATTGACAATAAAAATTTCAAATATTAACTAATTACCATGAGTATTACTATAGGCAATATCTATTATAAATATGCCTCAGAAAAGAACAAAAAGAAAAGGCATACGATGCTATTTTGAATAAAAAATAATTTACAATATAAACTAAAATAACTCCTTACATAACGGCTACTTAATGATTAATACTGTGACTTCCTATTAGTTATAGAAGTGGTAGTGTGCCTAAATTTAATAGAAAGGAACGCGTGCAATATAAGGAAAACGTTACTTTTTAAGATGGCAACAAGTTGTCAATCACCGTATTTATGATATAAAAAAGCTACATAAAATGCATTTCTCCTTATCACATGATAGACGACAGTTGTGACAATTAACATTATTCACTTTCTTCAAACAACTGACGTCTGTTCTCAAGACGAGGAATCGACAGAGTACTTTGACCAGCTTCTGTCGCTGCCAAAGAAAAGAAACTTTGTGTGGTTCCTACTCGGCATTCCATTCGAAGGTTTTTACTTCGAGGCGAACGTTTTTAAAAATAAACGTTAAGTTTAATACCTGATGATGAATAATGTGAAATGATGCAGATATATAACCGTCGCAGATATCACAGAATTACAATAAAAATGATTATATTCTAGATAATTATTGTTAAAGAAATTAGGCACAACGGCAGACCACAACACAAATCACACGCACACCGGCTAAACGCGAGCATAAACTGGCGAAGCCGGGTGGGTCATACTAGCCGCATGCGCACATTTTATGTTGTATACCTCATTCGTCGAGAACGAGATCAAACAAAACATTCAATTATCGTTAATCCAATTTATACTACTTTATTATTAATTATTATTATGTTTTTATCGGTTCTTTTTTAAGTCATTTTTACAGTAGCGTACCTATAATTCGAGGTGTTTTTAACTTTAAAATTATAAATTTTGTATATAAACCGTGCTTATAGTATTTATGTTAATGAAACATTTAGTGTACCTACAGTAGCAGGCAAAAATGCTGAGTTACATATTTTAAAGATTTTCATTTTATCTTTTAAGTCCTGGCGGCCAACTTCCTAGTAGATATTAAGTTTTAAATTATAAATAATACCTAATATACTCTTCTTTCGCAGCCTTTTCGTTTAAACAAAAAAAAAGATAATTGTACACTTTAAAGGTCACATCTCCCTTCTTCTTGTAATTTAGTTGTTGTCTATTCCTGTGGTAACTTATGTAATCAAACAACAGGAATGTTCGGTCAGTTAGGTTTGGTCGGGTTAGGTTAACTTAAGATAGAAATTATAGGAAAAGACAACTGTCCTTGTAATGTATTAAAATCACAGGTAGGCATGACCCCTAAAGTAAACAATCAGCCAAAAAAAAAAAATGAGCGAATGTTCTGATTTTTTTTTCAAATCATATTACTGCAATGCTATTGTAACATCCAAATCACAAAATATAATGAAAATTTGATTTTCAGACTTCCGTATGAATGGCAAATTGAAAATTAATATACAAGCGGTAACGGACTTGTAAAAGTAGTGCTCTTCCAATTACACACGCGGTGTAAAACATCTAACGGTGTCGTCGTGATGGAATTCACATTGATATTTCTTTGATGCTTACGGTTTAAAAAGATTGTTAATACTGCAGTTCTTGCAGTTAGGTAAGTATATTAAAAACGTTGTGAGGCATTTAAAAAAGGAAAAATCGGTTTTCATTAAAGTTGCCACGACTAAAAAGTGAATAAGTTCGCAACGTTCGGTAAAAATTCAGTGTAGCACGTTTTGACAGGAATTTAGGTTTTTACATTTTGAAATAACTTGTAAAACAGAAAAAGGAACTGTCTTTCCACTTTTTATTTTCTCTCGATCCATAAAGTCTACTTTATATATAAAAATCTCGAAACAATAAATTTATAAAAAAATACTTTACAACCACGATTGCAAGAGTTCCACTGCGTGTGTGTGTCACAAATAATTAAATATGTAAAGCAAAAATTGTGTTATTGACACTGTAAGACAATGCTTCCCGAACTTTCCTGTAGTTTTCGTAACAATAAGAGCCTCTTCTCAAAAAAAATCACATACATACATGATGTCAGATAATATAAGCACTTCGTTCGTATTGTCTTTTCCTACTGTGATCTTATAATCCTAAGCCAACCACTGTTTTGCTGATTTTCATAATATAATAGTGGGTGTCCCAGTGAAATTTTATGGTAGCAGTAGTGCCGTTTAAAAACTCGTGCCTTTGATTATTTCGAATAAAATTAATAGAAATTTCAATGAAATAAGCAATTCGAGTTATAGCAATGGAGGAACTGGAATTAATGTTTAAAAAAACATTTCACTCATTGAAAACAGAAACTGGAGTTAGAGAAGTTCGACTGTATATTTCTGCTTTTTTATTGCCTACATAAACAAAATGATAATAAATACAAAATAAAATTCATTCATAATAAAATAAACATTATTTTGTAGAAATTAATGAAAAAAATTAAATCATCCGAATCTTGTTTTTTTCTGAGAATTCAAGTTTAAGATATTTCTTCTCTGCTTTTTCCTTTCAAAAATAAAAGTGTTTCACTCTCGTTAATTTCATCATTTTCTGTTTGTTGATTATTATTATAATCACTTTCTTTCTAATTTAAGAGTTTCAGATTTCAACCAGCGATACGTAATCAAAAATATTATGAGTTAAAATTATATTTAATACGAATTATCAAAATCGAAAGACCTTATTAACAGGTATATAATAACGAAGTTTTTTATCATCTTTCTATCTTGTAATCGAAAAAGAAGGTACGCTTATTGAACCAGGCGCAGCACAATGTCCGTACCAAATCCTTTCCGTCGCCCCCGGGGGCACGCATACTATATTTTGGGAAACTACTGTACGACATAATGTTCTATTGAAGGAAGGAATACAGAGTCTTTGCCAGGAATTATACACATATATAAGAGTCGATTTATTTCAAATGTTATTAGAATCAACAGACTTCTCAATCATCAAAATCAGGAATGAATTAGCCAATGGCCAATTAGCTAAAATAGTATTGATCCAATTTGACATCCCCTAACGGGAAAACCAGTCATGGCATCGAAAAACTCGTCCTACTACCTCTAGGGACACCCTCTCTATTTGTTTATGCATTAATCTTAGATGCCCCATTTCGAAGGACTTTTCATTTATGTTATTTTCTTCTTTAGAGTACAAAGTGTTAAAGTAGAGGATTCGATATAAGGATGCTATGTAGGAAACGGCGATATATGACGTAATAACACGAGGTACACAATATATATCTCAATTTCAATACATACCCAATTTGTTTGAAATTGAATAATCAATAATAATCGATTACACATAGGTCAAAACATTACAGTACAAACCGCACGTGGATACAGTCGACTCTCGTTAATTCAAACCTCCGATAATTCGAACCTTTCTATAATTCAAAGTTATCACGAGTTCCCTACAAAATCTCTTTATATTTCGAACTAAATCAATACATTTTTTTGCACTTGGTAATTCGAACGAAAAAATCTTGCTACGTAACAAAACGACGCGCTAATTCGAACTCATCGGCGTCAAACACTCGACAGTTGAGAGAAAGAGACAGAAAGATTGTAAGTACATACATTTTGAGGCAAGTTCAAACTTCTATCATCGTATCATCGAGCCTTTGTTTTTGTTATGATTAGTTTGACACACACTTCCGCACGAATTGTTTAGTTATGTTTCAATTATTGTTACTCTTGCGTTGTATACAGATTAAAAGTTTGGAACCATTTGATATTTCAAACACTCGATAATTCGTAATATTTTAAGAGTCCCTCGAGTTTCGAATTATCGAGAGTCGACTGTATATGTATGCACCATATGCGTATTTCACAAATAAAATAATGTAGGATACTTGGAAAAAAGTTATAGAAAAACGAATACTACCACTTTTCCTCAAAACTGAAAACTTTT